TTTGTTTGCTTTATAGCATCTGAAAAACAGGGATTGGAGGGAATGCTGACTAAAATTAAAGTTCAATTTATGCACAATTTATCTACTATTCTTTGCTGTATTTCTGTAATGGGATCCGCTAACCCAGACCTTTGTGACATTGAAATCACGCAGTTGGTGATGGGGTTGCTAATTTGTGGAACCCTCTTATAAGCAAAGGAAATAGATATAGGCCCCAATGGAACAGGAGTTGTTCTCTCCTCCCCCAAAATGTAATCAACAAACCTGACTTCTAAGTGTTCAGAGAGGTTTGTGCAAAGGAAACTTAAGCTAAACAGCAGCTTGAATGAGCTTCAGCCTTGAACTCCTCCAGTGCAGGGCAATAAACACTTTTATTCCCAAATGCTTCACTGTGGAGAGCCAAAACTTTTCAAATAAAAGGTCTCACTAACAAACAAGCCATTTTACCACTATACACAACAGAAGCACTTACAATTAGTGTCCGGCACACAATGTAAACATAAAAATACTGCATTTAAAGCGTTTTATTAAAACTGAATCCTTCCTTTTTTAAGATTATACTCCAGTGGTTCGGGAGATTTGTCCGGTACCCCGGAGAGGTTTCATAACCCCAGACTGGTAGGTTAGAGGTGTACGAAAAGAAAGCTAAAGGCACATACTTACTCACATCTGCTTACACATAGATGAGTTCTGCCGTGAGCGTATTTCCTACAAAAGTTACGCTCTGCATTTCAGCTTATGCATACAGATTTGCTGAACCCTACAGTGAGTTAACACTGTGCTCACTTAGTCAGCTGTATTACTCCTGTACTTTTACACTGCTAGATATGTAATCATAGTAAGTAATTTATTAAACAAAGCCCTAAAGTTGTGTTTTACAACGCGGGACAGTTTGTACTGTCCTTTGACCCTCTTCTCTTTAGTGACGGTGCCAAAACTGCTATTTACACGCCGCCTGAAAAAGTGACTCACACTTTGAGTCTTGGTTTGTTGAATTTAAACCACACGGCACTTTGAAGAGCAAATGGGAAAATGCAAATATGCACTGCTAGTAAATATAGGGTGTCTTTCATTTCTGATGGTATCGTAATGGTTAGAATTCCTTGAAAAAAAAAGAAAAAGTTGAAGGAAATGCAGAGATTGTCTATGCACTTACCTCATTTAACATGCAAGAAGTATGCCTCCTAAGAAGAGCTTTCTTAGGACAGATACAGTGCATTTCCAAACACAAGTTTAAGAACTAAAGCCATGGAAGCCTCTTTTATACCCTTAGAGCAACTTAACTTCCAAACAGTTTTAACTCCTGGACTCCCGGGACATTACTAGAGCCTACATAAAAACACTTGTAAAGTTTTCATGCTGCTGAATTAGATGCTGAGAACAATTCTTTAGTATCATGCTTGGGCAATAACCCTATTTGAAAAAATATTTAGAGAAACACGCGTTTTTTTAAGAATTCAGTGCTGCTTTTGTGGAGTACATTTTTTCCCCCCATCAAAGTAAGTGTATGAGTAAGGAGTGCAGGATGATACACAGTTCCTGGCAATGATACTACATGGCATAATTTTTTTTCCCCACTGAGGTGACCTACTCTAAGCTCTGGAGGACAGACCACTCTCAGAAGTGTGTTAGCTTGGGTCTGGTTATACGAAGCAGTGGAGAGAGAGAAAAATAGCAAGTGGGAACTTCAAAATGTTGGGTAATCTGCACAGGCTGGGCATGGATCACTGCAGACAGGGAGCAGTTGCTCCCTTGAGCACCAAACCTCTCAAATACTGCGTGTTTTGAGTGCCTGGCAGTGCATCCGAAAGCTCAGATGAGTGGGAATACATGAGCAATAATAAAAAAGTAAATGTGATGAAGTCTGTGTATCAAAACCACCAGGGTCTACATAAACATACAAAGCCATGTCCTTTTGTGCCAAGTCAAAACTTTCCCAGCTACTGGCTGAAGAAAACAGGATTGTGAAAAGGCGACAGGCTTAAACCCTATCTCGAGCTTGGACTTTACCCAGGGGCCAGGCAGGAGTTAAACGGTTGGAAACAGTGGTGGGGAAAGCCCAGCTCAGAGCTCGTGGTCGAGGATGCAAAATAGCCCGGAGGGGGAGGAAGGAAAAAAAGAAAAAAAAAAAAAAGTATTTATTTCCACATTGGAGTTCGCACATTCAGCCTCTGCCCAGGATTCTGGAAGTGCCAAACGCCTCCCCACGCGCCCCGCTCCCACACGGGGTAGCCCAGGCCGCCCGCCGGGACCCGCCTGCTCCCGCCGTTAATTTTCCGTATTTTCCGTTATTTTCCGTTTTTTCCGTTATTTTCCGTTTTTTCCGTTAATTTTCGGTGCGCTTCACCTCAGGCGCAGCCTTTGGATTCCAACGCTGCCCCTTTTGCCTGTCTTTGAGTGCTGTTTCTGCCTAAGAACCACTGAGGAGGTTTGCAGTGATAACCTTCCGTTGGCTGTCTCTGTTACTTTCCCCCCCCTTTTACACCCTAGCTCTTGTTTTGCGTTTACTCAGCCTCAAGAAAAGGCAGTAAGCAAAATAAGTCAATCTAAAATCTTACACAATACCAAAGCTGGCTTGGGAAATGTCAAGTTTATGGGGCTTTATTTTAAATTATAATACTTACTGATGGCTGTTAAGCTTTATTGTGCCACCAAAGCAGTTTAAATGTAAATTATATCGCATCAGTGAGCCAGAAGCTGCTGTAGTGTTGTCAAACATGTAATTTATGTATAGCACAGACGGAAAGAGCAAATTGATCAGTTCTGGTCTAGAGGTGGTTATTTCTGCTTAATTCTAATCAGCATGTTTAATAGCAGTTTGCAGTTAACTACAGAATCAACAAGAAAAATGTAGAGGCAATTTTCATTATTATTTCTATACACAAGTACGTATTTATTTTCTGTTAATACTGTATTTTCAGGACTTCATAAATACTCTGTGTATTTGTGTATATAATAGGTTTAAATGCAAATGTTCAGTATTTTTACAGCATTTGTCTGTCTTTAAAAAGGTAGAGAATATGACTTCAGGAATGTGGTCATTTGGGCCCTTGCTTTACAAAGCCCAATTTGCCTGTTACTTGACTGCCTGTGAATGTGTCCTAAATCCAGTGCAACTACTCACCCTTTTAAAATGTTGTCTATACTGATGCATGCTGCTGGGATATACAAGGAATTAAGACATATTGTCACATTTTGCATTTAAATGGGATGTCTTTAATACATGTATTGATTTACTTTCTCTACTTACATAACTTTTGTACAGTGAATTTGGAATAAGCAATACGTTCTTTTTCATTAGGATACACAAAGAGAAATGAAAAGAAGTTTAACTGACACTTCGACTCGTAGCACAGCAGGTACCATTCATTCTTTTGTACCTTAGATGTATCTCATTCTGCTTTTTTATTTTTGTGTGTGTTTATTTTTGTGTATATATATATATATACACACACACATATATATTTCCAGGGGACTGGTGACCAACTGAAAAATTAAACTCAGGGAAATATTTGAAGGATAGAGGTCTGGGCATATAAATTCTATAGGGCAATAGCCAGTCTGGCTTACCTTTTTTTTAGGGAATATCATTCCTCTGGGTAATGTCAAATAATAGAATTATTAGGTAATTATTAATTACTTAAGTATAGGTTGTGTATCCTGTTGATATGCTATAATTAGGTGAATTTTAATTTTAGGTTGTCTGCCAGTGCCTCTATTCAATCAGAAGAAAAGAAACAGGCAGCCACTCACTTCAAATCCACTTAAAAATGAGCCCTCTACCAGTTCTGGGACTTGGGCCTATGACTTTTCTCCCACATCACCGGGTAAATAAGATAGTTGTATTTTTCAATGGCTCTACATCCATTTAAATGTTAACTTTATGATGTATTTTATTAAATTAGACATCACCCTTACCAAGAACTATAGGCTTCCTTTATGGTTATTGCTGAAAAGTTTATTATGTAAGAAATGTCCTCCAGGAAGTTCCTTTCTCCTTTATACAATTGAGCTTTCTGCTTCGTGCCTCGAGGGAGGTTGACTCTTTGTGTGTTAGAGAAGGCAGCAACATGCTGGCATTTAAATGGAGTCTCTTGGAACTCTGACCTTTTGTTTTCAGTTGATTTCAATCAAAATTCAAGGCCTGTGTTACAAGAAGAAACATTTATAAGATGTCTCTTTAGTAATGCAGAAGAGAATTTCTGTTCCCCAAGTCATGCTTTGAAAGAACGACACAGTTCTATCTCTATTCTATTCTCATTGTTTATTATGGTTCACTTGCAGCAAAAATGTCTCCGCTAACAAGAAATAAGTCTAATGTTTGTAACTTAAGCATTGGCTGGAAAAGGCCTATAATTATGGTTATCAGGGGATCAGATTTCTTTCTTTTTTTCCCTTTTGAATGAATGAGACTGTTTGTGGAACATTAAGCAAATAAATGATAGGAGCTGTAAGTATACTTACTGCCTTTCAGTCTTTTCAGTTTGTATCCATTTGCAATCTTTGGTCTTTTGAGAATTAGGCTGGGGAATTGCAAATCCAGAAGTGGCTGAACTAGAGAGAGCAGCAAACAGTGGGTAGGTAAAAGCAGATTATTTTGCTTTTTAATTTTAATTCGATTATTATTTGTTTCATAAAGTTCAATTCATATGTTTGTATTACAGTAAAGCTGGTACTATGTCTCTCATACTATAACTTTATCCTTAGAAGTCAAACAGAACATCAGATGTCTCCTTCCCTAATGAAACCACAAAATGCATCCAAATCTAATTCAGCAAATACTGGAAAAAACTTTTATACCTTCAGGTTGGTAAAGTCTGTAATTTTTATTATCCTTAACCAAAACTCTTCTTACTCTTATGTGAAAATACCCAGTATCATTCTGCATTCTGGTAGCATTCAGAAAGGCCCTTTCAATCCTCAGATCATCACTGTGCTATTAAAAATTAAATTGTGAGCGAAAACCTAGTGAATTCAGTGAGTAACTTTCCAGTGTACCTGTTGAGGCCTATTAATTAGACCTAATATCTCACCATAATATCAGGTCAAAAATTCAACCTGACAATAAAAGTTGAGTTAGAGCTTAAATATCAGGCAGCTCGGAGATTAACTAGGTAAGACACTTTACTACTTCTAGTTTTCATAGTTCAAAAAAGTAAGTTTTTGAGACTCCACTTTGTAGTGAAATTTTGCCCACTTTCAACCCTTGTTTGTTCTTTTTTATTGTGATGGTTTCATATCAGCAGAACACTCAAGCACATACATAAGCCTCTTTGCCGAATCAGGACCTTTATAAATTAATGGTTTTGAAAGAAGGGGATCAACAGAGAGCTAGGAGAGAAACTCGATTAGAATTTCAGGAATTATTTATCAGTAAGTTCAAAATAATTCCAATCGGTGTGCAGTGGGGCAATTAAATAGCAGGATATTAATTAAAATTTGCTTGTGAATTCCATCCTCTTACAAACCAAAAGCTTACAGGCCCAGAGCTAGTAGCAAATCTTTCAGCAATGTTATAACTATGCTTTTTCTTTTCCCTTCCTCCTGTTCCTTTCAAATGGCAAGTAGAGAGTGTGAATAAGTAGCTTCTAAAGAATTGCCTTCTAAGGCTAAGTGGAATAGAAATGGAAGCAATTTCTTGCGCTCCTTTTTAAGATTTAGGTTTAGGAAATGATCAAGTCAGCACTTGAGTTTGTTGGAAATGGTTTCTTCAGTAATGGTGATAGAAAGGTAATTCAGAAATAATATGCTCAGAAGAAATTTTGCTCATTTTATTTTAAGTTAGGAAAAACATGTAAATCTTAGGAAAGAACACTTACGCAGGACAGTAATTAAGAAAGTTTTAAAGCCTTAATGAATTCAGTAGGATTTAAACACATGTAATTAATTTTTTAATCTAAAAGAATGGCATATAGAATGCATTCATGTACTTTAATTACTTATCTGAATATTCAAAATAGGTATTGTAATATTGAATTACATATATATGTTAAATTGCAGGGCAGAAGAGAAGACTACCAGTACTAAAGGTTGGAACAGAAATGTGTATAGTCCTTTAAGCAACAGAACAGATTCAATATCTGATAGTGGAATTATTGGAAAGTTTGAGAACATTTCAAGTAATCTGAAAACTGCTCAGCACCAAAAATACCCTAGTAACCATAATTCTTCTCATCATATCAAAACAGAAACTAACCAAACATACTCATCTAAAGCACAGTGGCCAGTGAAACCTAGCACAGTATCAAGAAATCTCCAGGATCACAGTCTGGCATATAAATTTAACCACAATATGCAGCAAAATAAAATGAATGAGAAACAATTTGATTGTGTTCAAGAAGACAAAGTTCAGGTAAATTTCTGCAGAGAATTAGCAGGAAGATACAGTGAAGAAAGCAGTAAAGAAAAAGAAAACTGATGAGGCTCTCTTTGTAAACCCTTACGTTTCCAAAAGAAAAAAAAAAAAATTGAGATGTTAGTGTTGCAATAGCTTAAAATCTCTAGCATGATCATATATTGACAGGGAGTTATTTGTCGAGTCTGAAGAAAAAATATTCTAATATTGCATATTTAACATAATATGTAAATGTCTGTCTGGCTTTTAAAAACCTAAGAGTTTCTAACTGGAGTTTTCATCTTTGTCTAAAGGAAGTTTCATCATCTCAATTAAAACGTAAAGAAAACCAGAATTCTTTGCGAATCATATCTGCAGTCATTGAAAGTATGAAGCACTGGAGTCAGTATACTTATAAAACTGCACTATTATTTGAAGTTTTAGGTAAGCATGGTAGATTGTGCTGTAAATGATAATCATGATGGGACATCCACCAGAAAAAGCTGTATTAACTGTGCTATTGTTTTTTTTTTTCTAGAAGGATCCATTTAGCTGTTTAAGGTTGTCAAAATAGTACAAAATTAACAGCACAGTCATCCTCCAGTATTTAAACTGTTTCTTTTCTTTCCTTTTTTTTTTTTTGATATGTATTACAAAAAATTTTCCCACTAAATAGGAAGTTCTATAGGGAGGTACAGTTTTACAGTAATTTTTAATAGGATAAATCTGGGAATCAATCCAAGCCTGAAAAGTTTCTAAGTGACTTAGTGGCTTCACTTTGCATTATAATTGGCATTATCTGAGAAATGAAAATAACCAGAGATGGCAGAAATGACTGAACTCTTTGAATCAAGATAAATAAGAATATACATTATAATGAGATCTCAGGAATCTCCTATATATTGACAAGACTGCAAATATTTCTAAGGTTGATTTGCATATGAGCATTAATATATAAGAGCTTTTGTTTTACTCTGGTTTATATATCTATCTAGTATATATCTTAGTGCTTTCATGTAGTAGACATTACCACAATATCTTTGTGTATCGTATTTAGTACTGCACTGCTACTTGCATCCTAATTTATTTCTGCTAAATTTCATAGGCACACTGGACTCTGCAGTCACACCTGGAGCGTATGGGGCAAAGAATTTTCTTTTGAGAGATGGAAAGGAGAGTCTGCCGTGTGTATTTTATGAAATTGTAAGCATTTCCATATCCATACATAATGCTGGTATCACTTAACTACAGTCCCTTTTATGAAGTTAATAATTCATGTTCTAATAAAAGAGAAAGTTAATGTATAAAAGTAAAGCTGGAAACATATATACTGAATTACTCCCAAACTAGGCTAGAGCAGTAATACAGCCACTATTAAAGCAGCCTTAGACTTCTATTTTAACATAAATATTGAAGATATAGACAGGAATTTAATGTCAGCTCCTAAGTAGTTGATAATGACAAAGAAGCTGTATAGAGACAAATGCCTTCCGTATTTGAAACAGTCTTCAGAAATCCACTAATAACTACCAACTACCAGACATTTTTAAAGCTTTGTTCATATGAAAAAGGTGATATTTTGCTTTTTTGTTTATTGTGCTCATTATGAAGGACCGGGAGCTTCCAAGACTGATCAGAGGTCGAGTGCATAGGTGCATGGGGAACTATGATGCAAAAAGGAACATTTTCAAGTGTGTCTCTGTAAGACCAGCAAGTTTACCAGAACAAAACACTTTCCAAGAATTTGTTAAAGTTGCAGATGTTGAGATGACTGCATATGTAAAAACAATGAATGAAATATAAAATAGTTGAAATGATTGTATAAAACTAATTAATTCATCACTAACCATAAAGGCTGACATGCTAAAGCATTTACCAAAACTAATACTGAAAATCTTATTAAATAACTCAAAACATTATTAGACTGTGTTATCCAACAAATGTTGATAACATTTTTGATGTATTCATGTTACATTTCAGAGTTTATCTTTGCTAGTTATCAATACAGTAACAGATTTTTGTTGCCACTTTTGATTAGAGTTTATTGAAGAAATTCTGAATAAAAAAGTTTGACTTGATTATAAATTACAAACTGTTCTTGTTTAACTAGGAGGAACTAAATCCTATTCTTTTGGATTTTTAACTAAATTTTAGCAAAAATGATACCCTTTGGATTCTTTTTCACTACTTCAAAGGTAAACCAAAAAAAAATAATGATCAGTGGGATTTTTGTATTTGTTTTTATTATACAGTGTTGGCAGTTGGAAATTTCACATTTAAAATAATTGAAATATTGTATCCAACAAGTCAAATACAGAAAACAGTTAATATTCTAGAAAGGAGTCAGCTAGTCAACGCAGAAACACATTAATGGAAAATACAGCTTTAGTTACACTTAAAAAATTATATATTTAGAATAAAACTTGAACCTGATCCAGTAAATTGCTTGACTTTTAACAAGAAAACGCTTTTACACAATTTAACTTGCAGACAGTATTTATTAAAAAAGTGATCTGTCAGTGTTAGAAAATATATTGTTAACAGCATCCCACTTTAAGTTCCAGTTGAGGATCTACAGTATATGCTTTCTTAATTGTTGTTAGAACCATTTATATTATCTAGCTTCTTTATCAAGCTAGTTCTGAACATGGACATTGGCTATCCAGTTACAGAGGTCATAAACCTATCCTCAATTTCCTTTAAATATAAAAAAGTAAAGAAAGCTCCAATGCAGGCATTAGTTTAAGTAAAAAAAAGTGAAGAAAGTTATAGAAAGTAGAGCCTGAAAAGGTTTAAAGCGGAAAAAAATAAAGTTTAAGAAGTTTGGTACAGCAGTGCTGTAAAATGTACCAGTAATTTAAAATTACAAAGGAGGCTTGAAGTGTGGCCCGGGCCTGCAAACACGTGTGCACGTAACCAGCAGCACCCAGGTGCTGCAGTGCTTTGGAT